CAGGGGTGCTAATCAACGGCCTACCTAATGATAGGCAATAAGCCATCCAGAACGGCCAATGCTAGTTTACCCAGGGAAGTTAATCAACAGCCTATCCAATGAACACCTAGTTGATTATCTACCCAGGATGGCTAGTGCTAGCCTATTCAGGGAAGTTAATCAACAGCTACTGAATGATGAGAGTCAGTAACGGGACAGAGCCAGGGAGGGAGTAGATAGCCAACTCAGAGATGCTAACAACTTAGCTCTTCCTTTCCTTCCTGTTGCTGTAATGAGCTCCTGAGGGAGGAGAGCTCTAATTGGCTAACCCTTCCACATCGCCATCCTTTGACTGAGGCGCATCAAGGCAGGAACTCCAGCAAGAATTTGAAGCAGAAACCATGACGTGTGCTGCTGCTGGTTGTACTGGTTTGTTTTCGGGTCCATCGTGGCCTTCGATGAGCTTGCCTTCTTGGATGGCTTTATGCTGCCTCAGTTAAAGCTAATTAGGACTCTATCCAGGGATGCTAATCAACGGCCTATCCAGGGATGTTGATCAACAGTCTACTTAGGAATACTGCGGGTTTTCTAGAGGATGGGACTGACGGAGTGAATATGTATTCAGAGGTCACGTATCGGGTTGCCTTTCACAGTATGACCCAAGCAAACTGACATTAGGTGTCTTCACACCAGAAGAGTTGAGAATGGGTTCTGCTCAGTCGTGACACTTCAAGGTCCTTGACACGGGGCTGGAGGCCTGGAGGGTTACTGGAAAGCCACTGGTCTTCAGTCCGTGTTAAAAGGTTGAAGAATTGGGTCCTGATGCCAGCGAGGAACAGCGGCAGTGGCGGCAAACAGCAAGCAGACAAATGCAAAAGCTTGTTCCTCAGATGTCCTTCTCCTTCTGTCCTGGCAGCCCATTTTAACGGTGGGCATCCTATTTCCATTGCTGTGATTAAACACCCCAGTGAGAAGCAGTGTGGGGAGAAAAGACTTATTTGGCTTACAGTCTCGGTCCATCCGCAGAGACATCAGAACTTTGGCTGCTCATGGCCAAGAGCAGAGTGATAAAGGCAGCTTCATTTCCTCCTGCCCAGCTCAGTGTCTCCATCCTTAGCATTTTAACACCCGGACTAGGGAATGGTACCACCCACAGTTAGTGCGGATCTTCCCACGTCAACTAGCTTAAGACAGTTCCCACAGATGAGCCACAAGCAACCCAGAGTAGATGGTCCTTCACTGAGATTCTAGGTTTTGTCAAGTTTAAAATTGAATCATTGCAATGGATTTTCCCACTTCAATTAACCTTCTCTGCAAAATCCCTCACAGGTGTCCAGAGCTGACCTGAGCTAGCTGACCCCTCACAGGTGTGCTCAGAGCCTTCTCCTGCGGGTGATTCTAGAGCCTGTCAAGTTGACAATCAATATTAACCCTCACAGATGCTAATCAATAGCAGACTCAGGCATTGTGGTTATCCTAGGTTACCATTGCTGTGATAAAACACCATAACCAAAATCAAATTGGGAAGAAAAAGTTTTTTGTTTTATTTTTCCACACACAGTTCCATATCAAAAACATCGAAAGCAATGAGGACCAGAAATCAAGCAGGGCAGGAACCTGGAGGCAGGAGCAGACTGAGAGGCCATGGAGGGTGCTGCTTACTGGCTTGCTTCCCATGGTTTGCTCAGCCTGTTTTCTCACAGAACCCAGGACCACCCGCCCCGGGGTATCACCACACACAATGGGCTGGGCCCTCCCCATCACTCATAATGACGAAATGCCCTACAACCCAGTCTTACGGAGTCACTTTTCTTAATCAAGGCTCCCTCTTCTCTGACGACCCATAAAACCCCCCAGTCCAGTGGTAGAGATGCTGATCATTTGCCGCCCCTCCCCCTCTCCGCACACACACGCAGCAGGGTGCAGGGCGGTGCACTCAGTCTCCCCTTGCTAAGAGCAGTGTGGCTCTGAATGGCAGTGCTGCTGATGTTCAGAACTGTGGGTTAGGGGACAGCAGACAGAAGTGCTGAGACAGTAAGTGCTCAGGATGCTGAGGGCTCCGGTGCAGAGGGAGGGTGCGTGCTGTCCCCAGCAAGATCCCAGCCAGTGACAACGGCCCCTGAAAAGAAGCCACGTTAGCTCCATCACCAGTGGCGGGAAGTGGCCATTGGTGTCAACTCTCAGTGGTAGGCAGGGTCCTGGGGGACAGAATAAAGCGACAGCCATGTGCTGCTGTGCTCACATGATTTCTCTTTGAGACAGCTCAGGCTGGCCTCAAACCTGCAGTGCAGTCAAAGAGTCTTCAATCCCTGATCCTACTGCTTCCGCTTCCCAAATGCTGGGGTGACAGGACAATGCCACCACATCGGCCACGAGCTTTGGTGTGTTGATTTGTGTGGTGCTGGGCCCAGGCCTCCCTCATGCTAAGCCAGCGTACCAACTTTGACCTACACCCCCAGCCTTGATTCTCAGTAGCCTCAGGAGACCCTCCCCATATTGTCACAGAATGTACACCCCACCCCCACCCGGTCTCATGTGTAGAACACCTGACTCCCAGGCAGCAGAGCTGGGAAGCTTTGGAGCTCGTTGGAGGTGGGTGTGACCGGAAGACATGGCTGGGGGCTGGTCCTCCAGAGCTTTCTGTGCCTGACCCCTTCCTGTGTCTGTCTTTCCTGGAGGCAAAGTCCACCCCACTGCCCGCGCCATGACACTCTCTACAAGTGTGTGGAGACCAGCAACCCTGGCTTGAGCTGTCTGAAACTGCCAGCCAAAAACCAATGTTCCACCCTTGCTTCTGTCAGGCATTTTGGCTAGAATGACTTAGTGATAACTAACACATTCGTTTACGGGGCTGGGGAGATGGCTGATTGGCTGTGCAAGTGCTGGGGCCCAAGTTCAAATCTCTAGCACCCCATGAAGAGCCAGTGATGATCCAGGCCGTGGTGGCACAGGCCTTTAATCCCAGCACTCGGGAGGCAGAGGTAGGTGGATCTCTGAGTTCAAGGCCAGCCTAGAGTAAGTTCTAGGACAGCCAGGGTTATATAGAGAGACCCTGCCTTAGTGGTTGGGGATGGACACAGGAAGGTGGCTGTGGGCCTTGCTCCATGTTCATTGAGGGACGACCCTGTCTCAAAGAAATGAGGCAGAGAGCAGTAGAGCAGACACCAGACTCTTCTTCTGGCCTCTGTGCACACACAGGTCCCCTCAGCTACGGGCAAACCTACCCATACACTACATACTCACACACAAAACCCCAAATCAATTTGTAGACTGGCTGTGAGAACTCAGGGACTCACCTCAGTCATGGATCTGGAATTCAGGGTTCAGGGGTCACTGGCAATACCCCAAGGATCCAGCCATCAGGTCTTCAGCTGACCTGAGGATTTGAGCAAACAGCTGTGATCCTAAGTAACTGGTGTGGCCTCTCTGAATACAGTTTCTTCATCATCTTTAAATTGGCGATCGATTCCTTCCCTAAAGATGTTGGGAACAGGCTAACATAAATGGTGCTGTCATTCATACGTGCCGCCATCACGAGGGTCATGTCTACACTGATGTGACAGCCTCAGGAGGTGGCTGTATGGACTTACAGTGAATTCAGAACATACTTTTGTGGTGATCTGGCTTCAAGTTCCAGTTGCCCGGTACATGGATTCAAGAGTCCCCTGCTTCATGATCGGGATGTCCAGAATTCTGTAGGAAAATGGTATGGAGAAGTCGACAAAGGGGAACTGAGGGTCACTGGAGGGATTTGTACCCCCTGCCCCATGTCTAGTCTGTCGGGCATTCCCACAAAGCCAGCAAAGGCCATCGGCCCCCAGGAAGTCATCAGAGTTGCGCCGGAGGTGGCTGGCCTTGGGGGCCTCCCCAGTCTTACCATTCTGGTGAAATGGCCTGGACAGGATTGGGTGGACAGGGTGCTATCTCAGCAGGCCACAATGTGCTGGGCCAACAGAACATGCCCATAAATAGGCCAGCCTTGGAGGCAGGCCAGTCTGGGGACAGCTGGTCTGGAAGCAGGTTTGTACTGGACTGGGTGAGGCAGGGGGAAGTGCAGCCTCAGGTCTCTGTGGGTATGCATGGCTGGTGCCCGGCTCGCTTGAGAGTAGGGGCTGACTGACCTCCAGGATCCAAGACTGCCTGGAGGCCCAGCCACTGAGGGAGCTGAAGACCTGCAGTGTTTGTTGGTTGGAGCAAAAGGCCGGGTCCCAACTGTGTGTGGGGGCTGGGACCAAAGGCTGGCTGGCTCTGAGAAAGGAAAGGGACCCTCTAGGCATGAAGGGGGGGGGGCCAAGACCCATGTACTGCAGATGCTGGGCATGGCGGCTCTCACGCCACTGTGCCAGGACAGGCCATGGTGGAGACAAGGGTTGGGGACAGGTTTGTGAAAGATATGTGTATGTGTGCGCACACCCATACGCCCACGCTAGTGAGAAGAGGTCTGCAGAGGCTGGGTCCTGTGTCTCTGCTCCCTGAGGCTAAGAGAGCCTGCCAGGGTCCACAATGCATCAGCCTAGAACACAGCCAGCACTGAATTAAGTGTGTGGAGTGAACAGTGAGCTGCGGGGCCTGGGATGGTTTCCAAAGACCTGACCCGTTTCCTAGCGGCATGGTCTGTCTTGCGTTTCTCCTGCCTTCTGTGGCCTGCTGTTCACTCTGGCTGTGGTGTCCAGTACTAGGCACTGAGGGCACAGAGAGCCCACAGAGATGCCCATCCCTGTGCAGGGAGCATTTTGGTGTGTGAATGTGTGTGTGTTTGGGGGGGGGGGGTAAGGGTACCGATCCAGTACAAGTCCTTTCTCCCTGTGGCCTCAGTGAGGTGTTCTTGCTTTTCTGGGTCTCTGGGACTCTCCAGTCCCACGGCCTGGCCCACATGTGTGGTCCCACGCACGTGCCAGGGGATGTTTGCTGAATGACTGACTACAGAGCCAGGGGCAGCGAGGGCCTCACTACTGTTTGGTTCCAGTGACGTCAGCACCCGATCCTGCTGGGTGGAGCTGGTGACTTGGTTCTCCTCCAGTCTAAGGCAGAAGTGTCCCCAGAGAGATGGCAGAGCAGCACAGCGCGCCCGAGCAGGCTGCAGCCGGCAAGAGCCATGGAGGCCTTGGGGGCAGCTACAAGGTACCTGAGGCTTGATGGGACCTAGAGCCCAGAGCTGAGGGCAGTGACTCACTCACTGGGGCGCAGAGGCACCGGGCTTCGGGGGATGAGGCTTCAAGCTCTGCCTTTCCTGTGTGGCCACACTAGAGTTTCCCTGGGGCTGAAGTGATGCCCCGCTGTCCTCAACCCCAGAATGGTCGTGAGGATGGCATCTCTGGGGCTGCCACATAGAGCATTGTTGCAATTGCTCGCTGTGACCACCAGGGGTCAGTGCAGACCCGCGTGTCCTCTCTGCTGGTTTGAGGGAGGGCGCCGACCTTTGGAGCCCCGCGGAGGCCCAGGCTCTGACCTTGTTCTTCCAGGTGATAGTGTATGAGCTGGAGAATTTCCAGGGCAAGCGGTGTGAGCTCTCAGCCGAGTGTCCCAACCTCACCGACAGCCTGCTGGAGAAGGTGGGCTCCATCCAAGTGGAGTCTGGACCGTGAGTACCTGGGCGGCGCCCACCGCCCCAGCCTCCTGCAATCTGAGGCCCCGATCCAGCCTTTCTGTGCCTCAGTTTCCCCATCCGTAAGACAATAGACTCTTGGCTTCAGATTCCCGTGGCATAATGGCAGAAAGAGGAAGGAGGCCAGCTGATGCCCGCTTCAGAGGTGAAGCACCAAGTTAGCTGTATATAGTTTCATAAACAGGGGCCGAAGAGGGAGCTCAGCAGTTAAGAGCACTTACGGTGGTTGCAGAGGACCTGGCTTCAATTCCCAGCACCTGTGTGACACTCACAGCTGTCTGTAACGCACCTCTTCTCATCCCCGAGGGCACCGGGCACCAGTTCTATCACAGATCCTCATCCTGGGAGAGCCTCTCCCCTTCCTATCGCTGGCTGGCATAGCAGAGGGAACTGAGGCCAGAAAAACTGGGAGTCTGGAGCCTGCCCTCGAGGCAGCGGGCTTTGTGCTGTGCGCTGAGCTCTGGCCTTCAGATTGAGGCCACATTCTGGGACTTTCTGTCTGTGGTGGCAGGCAGCATGTCGGCCAGCTGTGTGTGGGAAATGAGGGGGATGGTACCTATGAGGGAGGAGAGGGGCCAGGCAGGAGCCTACGAGCGATGCACCAAGTGCTTGCAGTACCGATGGTGGCCAGAAGAGGCCACTAGATCCCCTAGACTGCAGCTCTGATGGTCATGAGCTGCTGTGTGTGTGCTGGGACTTGAACCCTGGTCACCTGTAATGTCAGCCAGTGCTCTTAACCACTGAGCTAACACTCCAGCCCCTCACCCATGGGTCTTTTGTTCAGCCTATGGCAGGCGATGTGTGGGATTTTACCAAAAACCCCTCCCAAACATGGCCACACTTGGATTTTCAGTGCATCTTTGATGGCTTTCTGGCCTAGAGCATCAGCCTTAGGGATCCTCCATCTGCAGGCACGGGGTCTGCACCGGCTCAGGGACAGGGAAGGTGTGAGGTCGAGGTGTATGCTTTCCCCTGCACTCGGATGCCTGCTCAGCGACTCCAGAGGTGACCCCGTTCCTTCCACCCTCAGGTGGCTGGCATTCGAGCGCAGGGCCTTCCGTGGGGAGCAGTTTGTCCTGGAAAAGGGGGACTACCCTCGCTGGGATGCCTGGTCCAGCAGCCGGCGTAATGACATTCTCCTGTCCCTCCGGCCTTTGCACATTGTGAGTCAGCGCTATGGCTATCCAACTCTCTCTCTCTCTGTCTCTCTCTGTCTCTCTCTGTGTGTGTGTGTGTGTGTGTGTGTGTGTGTGTGTGTGTGTGTACTTACACATGCACTCTCATGCCGCTTTGGCCACTGGGATCCCACCTGGACAGGCCTCAGATTCTTAACAATGGTTTGGGGCAAGAAGAAGCTGGGTCCTGAGTGGCCATTGGGTAGGGACATCAGGGTCCTTGTCCTGACCCTGGACCCCTTTGTAGTAACCCGATTAACCTGAGAGGCCCCATAGTCCAGGCTCAGATCAACACTGTTCAAGGAAGCAAAGAATTCCAAAACCCAGGAAATCACTTCAAGACAGTCCATAAGCTTCCCTGGCACTTCCTGAAAGGGTCGTAATCCAGGAGGGTACCAAATCCCCTCTCCATCAACACAGAAGCTGCCCCAGCCCTTCCTCCCACTGTCTGAGCGGAGCTGGTTTTAGACCACAGCGGAAGGGAAAGCAGGAAGATAGCGCCAGAGTCCACATAGAAGGAGGAGGCTGGAGCATGAGGCTTTGTGGTCCCCTCTGAGCCTCGATTTCCCTTTCTGATGGTGATGACTGGTGGAAAGAGATCTGTCCAGCCCTCTTCCTCTGTCTTGCTCAGCTCTGGGGTGTCTCTTGAGTCCCTCTCTCTTTTCAGGGAGTTGGGGGCACCCGATTCTTCCTGTTCCTGGGGTGGGTCCCACTCACCCTTGACCTCTGCCCCCAGGATGGCCCAGACCACAAGCTGCACCTGTTTGAGAACCCAGCCTTCAGTGGACGCAAGATGGAGATCGTGGATGATGATGTGCCCAGCCTGTGGGCCCATGGTTTCCAGGACCGTGTGGCCAGCATCCGAGTCATCAACGGAACGTAAGGGAAAACCTCAGCTCCCTCTGCCCTCACTCTGTGCTCTGGTGGCTGCTCCTCCAGCGCCAGGGATTACCACGGCCTCCGGCTCCACACAGGCATGACTCAGTCAGTGCTCTGAACCCAACCTCACTTGGCCTCCGTTAGGTGGAGGGCGCAGTGGGGCCAGCCCATGGTCCTAACACCCGGGAGGCTAGGCCAGTGGAGGAAGAGTTTGAAATTGGCCTGGCTCCACAGTCAGGTCTTGCCTCAAAAATCCAAGAGCTGCAGCAAGGGCATGGTGGCGGATGCCCTCAAGCTGAGCACCTGGGAGGCAGAGGCAGGCGGGTCTCTTTGAGTTCAAGTACAGCCTGGTCTACAGCGTGAATTCCAGAACAGCCAGGGCTACACTGAGAAACCCTGCCTTTCTTTAAAAACAAAATAAAGCAAAACGACCAAAGTTCAAGAGTTGGGCTCTAGCCCCAGCACTGTGCACACCTTCATAATCTCTCTCTCTCTCTCTCTCTCTCTCCCTGCTCTTTGCCCTCCTTTCTCCATTCTTACGCTCTCTTTTCCTCTTTTCCTCCCCCCCCCCCATGAGACTGCTTTAGCACCTGCCTCTTGCCCCACTGAGGTTTCTAGGTAGCCTAGACTCCTAGGCAGTTTTGCTCAACTTCAGTCAAGTGAATAGCTCCCACATGGTCTACACCCAGGTTTCTGTGGCCTCCTGACTCCCCAGCCTGGAGGCCTGGCTTCCCAGGGTGACCTTGATCTCATAGTCTCTGTTATTATTGAGGTCTAGAGTGAGTATAGCTGTGAGCCTCTTGCTATTTCTGCTAACAAAACCTCAGGGTCGACCTGCTTTTCTTCTCCATAGTGGGTTGGAAGCTGGGTTTGAGCCTGGGAAGACAACACTGAGAGTTCTCAGTGCCGTTTCCCCGAGTGTCAGGGATGGGTGTCCTGTGGTCAGTCAGAGCTGGGTAGCTCCTTTCTCAGGTGTGTCGGTCTGATGGTGAGTGTGACGGGCACACCGGGGGAAGGGGTCTCTGAGAGCCCCAGGGGTATGTGTGACCTCCCGAGGAGACAAAGGGTCAGGTAAGGAAGGACGTTTCACCGAAGAAATGTCAGGGGGAAAGGTTCAGACTCAGCCAGACGGAGGGATGAAGGGCTGGAGAGTGGACCGAGAGGGAGAGGTGGGGCAAGGGACACTCTGATGAAGGGAGGTGGTTAGATTCATCTCAGGGGCACTGGGGAGCCAAGGGGGACTCGAGACAGGCAGAGAACCTAGCACATTCGGGCTTTAAAGAGCTTTGAAGGGCTGAGCCTGGTCACAGGAGGGCGGCGGAAGGAGCACACCTCACCCCACTCTGTTATTCTCTGCAGGTGGGTGGGCTACGAGTTCCCCGGCTACCGTGGGCGCCAGTACGTGTTCGAGCGGGGAGAGTTCCGCCACTGGAACGAGTGGGATGCCAACCAGCCCCAGCTGCAGTCCGTGCGCCGCATCCGAGACCAAAAGTGGCACAAGCGTGGCTGCTTCCTGAGCAGCTGAGGACGCGGTTCCCAGGGGCCGACGCCTGTGTGCCCTCCCCAACCTGATCAATAAAGCCCACCAGCCTCGCCGCTCTGTCTGAGTCACTTCCTGTGGTGGTGGGCATGTCAGGGGCCAAAACCCACAAGGAGATGAGGAGGGATGTGTCTCTGCCCTAATCCAGACCTAGCCGCTGGGGCCACGCCCCTCTGCCACAAGCTTACTTCTGCCACCAGGGCCTGCATCTGGATAGTTGTCCATCTGCTCATCTGTCCATTCATCCATTTGCCTACCCGTGTCATCCATATCATCACACATCCATCCATCCACCCATCCATCTCCATCCATTCATTCACCTATCCATCCACCCGTCCTTCCACCAATCCACCTATCTACCCATTTATCCACCCGTATGATTACCCACCTGTCCATCCACCCACCCGTCCGTCTGTCTATTCATCCATTCATTCGTCCATCCATCCATCCACTCAGCCAGCCAGCCACCAATTTATTTATCTACCTATCTGTCCATCCACCCACCCACTTATTTACTCATCCACGTACCCACCCACACACCCAGTCTATTCATACATCCATCTATTCACCCATCTGTCTACCCACTCCCTCATCCATTCATTTATCTGTCCTTCCATCCATCCTCCTGTCTATCTGCCCACCCATTCATATATCTGTTATCCACCCATTCTTCCTTCTTTTCTTCTATATTTTCTTTCCATCAACTTATATATCCTCAATACCACCCATCTATCTTTCCATCCATCCATCCATCCATCCATCCATCCGTCCGTCCATCCATCCATCATCCATCATCCATCCAACCATTAGCCATCTATCCTCCTTCCATTCATCAGTTCACCCATCCTTCCTTTCTCCCACCCATCATTCATTTCTCCTGCATTCTCCAGTCAACCCCATTGCCATTCATTTACGTGACAAGTGGCCTGCCCTGTTGGAGGCCCAGTGAAGCAAGCTACTAAGAGAGCAGGACTGCTGTAGTTAAAGCCGTTCTCATTTGCAGAGAAACAGAGGTGCAGAGAGCTGCCATGCACTGCCCTTGGTGGCACAGCTTTCAAGGGGGAGGACCAGGTTGCTGGGCTGCTCCAAAGCCCCCCGTCTCCATGCAGGGGTTGCCGATGCTGTGCTGACCCTCACTGTACCCCCAAGGCAGCTGTGACTGCGCTCCCTGGGCAGCGAGCATTCCTGGAGCCCCAGACCTCTCTACAGTTGGCCAGCTGCCTTCGGCGTCTCTTGCTGAGGAGCTTGTCAGTAAACCTCACCCAAGCTGGTGCTTGATCAGCCCAGGGTCCCCACCCCTCAGGAAGAATCCCCTCATCACTTTGGCAAATTCTGGCACCCAGGCAATTTCTCTCACAGTTTTGAACAAGTACTTCTGCCTAGGGTAGGAAGAGACCAACATACCTTCCCTCAATAATAACGTCCAAGCCAGATGCTGTGTCCATTGAAAACGGAAACCTCGGTCTGCCTCGCTTCACCCTGCCCGAGCTTTGTCAAAGCCTTTAGCTATTGCAACATTGTAGCGTGTCAGTCTTTATATTACAGTTAAAGGAAAGCCGTCTGCCTTTCTCTTCACCCTGCCCAAGCTTTGTCAAAGCCCTATGCTATCGCAACATTGTATCACGCCATTCTTTACACCATAGTTAAAGGAAGGCAGACTTAACTGATTTATTCTGAAAAATTGTATGCGGGTGGGTTATAGTTGATTTTATTACAAGAGACCAAGGGGTGTGACAAATAACAGCCACAGACACCTGTCCCTTTGGGTAGATTTGAAAATTCCTCCCAGTTGGATGATCTAAGAGGAGATTTGATTCCCCACTGCTTTTCATCTAAAGACTACATTGTGTTTGTCTGAAAGGGACACCAAGGCCTGGGGTCTTCATAGCCACTGAAGGTGAGGCATTTCTTCTGGACATTGGCCAAGCTGGCTGCAATGACAGGTGCCCTTGATCCTCCCTTGTACCATTGTCCTGGTCAGCAGAAGCCTGGCTACACATCAGGCTTGAGGGCTTGTGGAGCTATCAGCCACGAGCTGTACCCAGACTGGGGAGAAAATGTCACTCCGTTCCCACAGAGTCCTCAAGTAGGCTCTGTGAAAAGGAATGGATGACATCTACCAAACACAACGGCTCAGGCTGCTGGGTGACCCTGTCCCAGCAAGTCCTCCTCTGAATGGTAAACAAGGAAACATCTAAGGCTGAGAAGACACTGTTTGGCCCAAGTGGGACAGCAATGAATGTCTTTGGGGCTGAGTCCACCAAGTGCTTTCTGTGATGGCTTCCAGGCTGGCTCCTCTGAGAAGGGCCTGACACAGCTCTCTAACAGCCAGGCCCTAGCCTTACCCCACCCTGGTTTGAAGAAGGAAATGGTGACTGTGGGGGAGACGCAAGGAGGGCTGTGGCCCCAGCCGAGGCTTCTGAGATGTTTTCTACCCGTGATCCCTTTCACCTGAGAACTTTGTGTGATGGATGAAGGCGGGACTACAGGTACATAAAACAGTCAAACATTTCCCTGATAATGAATCATAAAGAAATTTAAGACAATGATTCCTATGCATGTAGATTTGTGATTTGCTGTAAATAAAAGCAACTTCACACGCTCGGGAGATGATGTGTTTGTCTGTCTTTACATGGATGTCCCAGTTTGCTTTTCTGTTGCTGTGATAAAAATGCTCTAACTTAGGAAAGAAGAGCGTTTGTTTCATGTCATACTTCCAGGCCACAGTCCGTCACTGAGTAGGTCAGGGACTCAAAGCAGAACTCCCCTGTGGAGGAATAGTGCTTGCAGGATTGCTCTCTGACTCTCTCGGCTACCTTTCTTAAACAGCTCATGCCCACCTGCCGGATGGCACCTCCACAGCGGGCTGCGTTCTCCTACGTTAGTAGTCAAGACAGTGTCCCACATACATGGCCACGGGCCAGCCTGAAGGGCCAGCTTCAGCTTCAACTGAAGCTCCCTCTCCTCAGGTGACTCTGGAACAGTGGTCCTCACCCCTCCCAATGCCGTGAACCTTTAATGCAGTTCCTCATGTTGTGGCGACCCCCAAGCCACACAATTATTTTCGTTGCTACTTCGTAAGTGTAATTTTGCTACTGCTATGAGTCATAATGTAAATATTTTTGGAGAGAGAGGCTCGCTAAAGGGGTCATGGCGCACAGTCTGAGAACTGCTGCTGTAGCACATGTGGGATAAACGATAAAGAGTCACCAGGACAATGGGCAACCCACCAGTAGCCACACAACAAAGGAGACGGGACTACCCCTCCTCTAGCAGCCAGCAAATCCTAGAGCTCCTCATCGAAGGGAGGCCCTTTGAATATTCCTCCCCTGACCAGGGCATGTCGACTGGCTTGACCCTGTAGCCACAGCTGCTGTGAGTTCATGCACTGAACAGCCACGTCATGTCCACAAGACAGCATTTTACGGCTCTTTTCCCTGAGCCCAGACTCTCACATTCCCCTCCTCCCTCCTCCCTCCTCCCTCCTCCCTTCTCCCTGATGTTTCCTGAGCCTTGGCTGGGGATAGATACAGATGTCCCATTTAGGGCTGAGCACTCAGTGACTTTTCCTAGCATACTGACCAGTTACAAGTCCCTGTATTGACTTCTGCTCACCACAGGAAGAAGCTTCTTTGACTGAGGCTGAGAGCTCAGGCCTATGGGTATAAATGTGAATATTCGGGCAGTTTGACTGCAGCCATTTAGCAAAACAATAGTAGTAAGAGCTCCTTTTGGGGCCTAGGACCCTCCCAGCCAGGCTTACAGTACTGGATATGAACCTTCCCCTGTGGAGCAGACCTTGACTTCTTTTGGAGAGCTGCTGGTGACCCCATGGCAGCCGTGCCACAATTGCACGTGTGGGCCCTGACAGATTGTGTCGTGGTATGAAGGGTTTACCAACAGGTCAGGTCATGGATCACTTTTCCCTGCATGGGACCTTTACCACCAGCAGGGATGGAGTTTCTCAACGAGGCTCAACTTTATTTCTCTATTGCAACCAAAATGAATACATCTTAAAAGACAGAGTCTTATGTGACCCAGGCTGGCCTCAGACTTGTTACGTAGCTGAGGATGACCTTGAACTTCTGATCCTTTTGTGGTTACCGGTACACATTACTACTGTATGGTGCCACAGATCCAGCTCAGGGCTCATGCTAGGCACACACTCTACCAACCGAGCCCAGCCCCATCACCATCCACACGTACAGAGGACTGCCTTGTTGATTCCCACAATGGCTGCACCTTTAAATGAGTGCCTGCTGCTTTCAAGCCATCCGCTTTGCAATGCTTGGTCTGTGTCAGGCTCCGGGCTCCGGAAGCTGAAAGCAAGCTGGGCAGAAGGCACCTCTGCCCTCACGATGGTCTACACATGTGGAAATACGTGAGCAATAGAGTTTGGGGACAAGTGAGAGACAGCATGGGAAGAGGACTGAGGAACATGAGTGTGTGTGTGTGTTTGTGGTGCATGTATGCATACTATGTACTGTGTGTGAGAGGTGCATGTGTGTGTATGCGTACATGTGTGTATATACGATGTGGTTTACATGTGTAGATGTATGTATGTGTGTGTGTGTGCATGTGTTTGTTGACTGTTGAGATCGTGGAAAAAGGATGAGAGAGGGAATCCGCTATCTTGGCTTCAGCACCATACCCTCTGTCTTGCTGGACCTTGGATTCAAGGTCAAGACAGAGCCTGGGCTGCAGGAAGACACGAACTCTAGAGGGACATAAGCCCCGGGCCGTGATTGGCCAGCAGCAGAGTTCTGAGAGACTTCTCTTACACTGGGAACAGGTTCCTAGGCACACCCCACTGAAGGACAGCGGGTGTGGGCAGCCAGCTTTCCGAGGAAGCTTCCTCTCCTCAGCCAGCTTCCTAGCCCCCTGCGGACCTTGTCCACACTCACCTCACGTACACTTGAATTGTTAATCTGGCTTCTGGTATTGTTTTGTTTTGTTGTTTGTGTTGAATGAAACACTTCAGATCTTTTTCCAATCCAACTCCTTACCGTGGAGTGTGATTGCATGGCTCAGACAGGGCCAGAGAGGATGATGACACCGACCCCAGAGCTGGAACCAGTGGATGGCTGGATGATGCCTGGCTGGCTGGCTGCATAGACAGACCAACAGATGAATGGATGGGTAGAAGGATGGATAGATAGGGGATGTATAATTATAGGTAAATCTATGGACGGATGGATGTGTGGACAGACAGACAGATGGGGGATGTTTGGGTGAGTGAATAGAGATGTAGGTTGATCGGTGAACTGGGGAGGAATAGTCAGGTGGCTGGCTGAGTGACGGACATACAGCTGTGTGGGGTTTCTTAGCTAGGGTCTCTATTTCTGTAACTAAGCGCAATGACAAAAAAGCAGCTTGGGGAGGAAAGGGTTCATTCAGCTCACACTTCCACATCACTGTTCATCATGGGAGGAAGTCAGGACAGGAACTCAAGCAGGGCAGGAACCTGGAGGCAGGAGCTGATGCAGAGGCCATGGAGGGCGCTGCCCATTGGCTTGCTCCCCATGGTGTGCTCAGCCTGCTTTTTATAGAACCAGGACCACCAGCCCAGGGCTGGCACCATCCACCATGGGCTGGACCTTCCCAATTGGTCACTAATTAAGAAAATGCCTTACAGCTGGATCTTACGGAGGCATTTTCTCAGTTAAGGTTCCCTCCTTTCATATAACTCTAGCTTGTGCCAAGTTGACATAAAACTTGCCCAGTCAGTAGATGATGGGTGGATGGATGGGGGGAGGATTGGCATGGGAGTGTGTGGGTGAGTGGATGAATGAAGAGTTAGCCTCTTCCTAAAGCCTCCCCGCTTCTGCTTGCTTTTCCCCAGGGACACTGAGAAGGCTTCTGTCTGTTGTGCCCCAGGCCTGGTGACTGCACCCGTGAACCTGGTATGGCCCCGTCCTGGCAGTGGGATGGCTGATGCGTGCAAAGTGGGCATCTCCTTGCCCGGCCGCCTGACACACTGGCGCAGCTGAATCTGAAAGCTAATGACATTATTGTGCACAGACACAATGTCTGTGGGCATTTGCTGACCCGGGCTTTGGGGAAGGCTTAGCCTGCATTCTCACCCTGCTTTCCACAGGGATGCAGCGGTCACCCATCTTGGCACCAGCTCCCCTGGGGAAGGTATAAATACTACCTCCCACCAGCCGGGCTTCACAGCACTCTCGGGGGCTGGCGACCTGGTAAGAAGGCTTCTGCTGCTTGCTCTGCCCTGCGCTCTCCTTTCCCCCTTGTTGGAAAGCATGGGGCAGTGACTTCAGCACTTGGCCTTAGTTTTCCCTTCTGTTAAGTGGGGAGAGGGGCCACCAAAGGCCCTCTGCTGGGGCTCAGAGGAGGACAGGGCTCCTCATTAATGTAGTAACCACCTTCTCAGGCCCGCTTTTCTACTGGAGGCTGGAAAGGAAGCTGCGTCTGGCTTGTGACCCACGGGCTGCCCTACCTTGACCGTGTCTAGCTTGCTGAGCCAACTCTCTTATGTCTAGTCATTGCTGCTCTGCTGGACCAACCTTGGGGGAAACTTGTGGGCTGGACTAGGCTGCACCTTCTCCTGAGTGCTATGATTTCAGTCCCCTAGAAATGGCCCTAATAATGCCACCCTGGCTGGCCCTTCCTGGGTGTGGAACATGTACGTTCCAGGGTCCTGTCAGATTCACCCGGTTGTATGGAGTCTTGGTTCACAGAGAGGGTGAGGCGCCTCTACTGCTTTCCTGGTGTACAGAGCAGGAAACTGAGGCATGGGGGGGTGGTTTTTCAGCTGCTGGATGGCAGATCAAGCACTTGGACTGGTCCAACTGAGTTAACACCTAAAGGTAGAGGATTTGATGAGCTGGGGGTGGATGCAGGAAGGACTTTCAGTATGACCCCCAGCGCAGGAGCCCAGCCATGGGGGAGAGAAACCATGGGAGAAGGCAGGAATCTTCCATCTAGACCTGGGCTGGATTAATAGTGAAGGTGAGGACAGAGGCCGGATGGCTGCTTCCAGAAAAATCTGAAGCCAGGCAAAAGCAAAGAGGGCTGAGGGCTGCACCGGAGTTGGCCCAGAAGTCCTACGGCAAGGCCCGGCAAGGTCCTCACGCCGCTTCTTCATTTCTTTTAGGTCACCTCGACACCAGAGAGTCCACCATGGCCTCAGACCACCAGATGCAGGCGGGCAAGCCCCAACCCCTCGACCCTAAGGTGGGTACCTGCTGGGGGGAGGGGCAGGCTCTGTCCCCTCTGCAAAGTCAACTTCCTCCTTCCTGGTGCCCTTCCTCTACCCTGTTCCTCAGGGACTCAGTCTCCCCCAGCTGCACACCTGGGCTAATTCCCCATGCCCCTCCCCACCCAGATGTCCAACGTCACCTTCAGATTTTAAAGAGTTATATTTCTCTGCTTCTCTGTCATCCCTCATGCCACTGCCCATGCCCCCCCCCCCACCAAGAGTGGGCCAGAGACTCAGTGGCAGTTAGAGAGGATTCCAGCCTCACTCCTGCTGTGTGACCCAGGCTAGTGGCTTGACTTCTCTGAACATCAGCCTTATGCGATGGGGAGCTTCAGTTACACACAGAACAACCGTGCAGTTCTGGAACCTGGCTCAGCCTCCCCCTGGGGAGGCACAGGCTGTCCCCCTCACCCTCATGCCTTTCAGGCTCTCTGCTTTTGCTTTCTGACTCTCCCCACGTCTGTGGGGGTGGAGCTTATTCCCACCTCAGAACTGGTCACACCCAGGCTGGCCCATTCCATCCCCATGAGCTTCACTTTCACTGGGTGACAAGTCAGCAAGCAGGTGAACTGTAGCCTCGAAGAGTGACAGGCAGGAAACAGGAAGTAGGTTAAGGGGCCCTTAGGGCTGGGGTACACGGCAAATGCTGTGTCAGCTTAGAACTTTGTGTGGACCAGCCTGAGGAGGTGACTGGGGTCAAGGGAGGGAGCAAGCATGTGAAAACAGGCAGGGAATGGAGCAGTGGGAACAGCATGGGCAAAGGCCCCGAGGCTGCCAACGAGTTGGGTGAGTTTGAAGAAAAATTTGGTGGCTGGCTGCAGAGCACTGCTCTTCAGTACTGTGACGTCTCACACATACTGTGATGTCATAAATATACTGTGCCATCACATACATATGCAGTGATGTCACATCTGCTTTATGATGTGCACGCGCGCGCGCGCGCGCGCACACACACACACACACACACACACACACACACACACACACACTATGAATCACATACATAATTAAAATCTTTCAATAGTTGCAGTGGAAATCCTAAGAAGAAGCAAGCTGAGAACGTCTGTCTTCTCCTTGGTTAAGCAGGTCCCTGCCGCCCTGGCTGTCTTCAGATCTGTGTTTCCTGCGAGCAGCCCACATTAGAGCTGACTGCTTGTGCAGGGCATCTGGTGGCTTCTGCTCAGCGTAGGAAAGAATCTGGATTCTACAGATAATAACAAGAATTAGTAGCAGTAGCGGTTTCCATGCTGGCAGCAGGGTCCAGCGTTCCAGGGACCCATGCATGGAGAGCTTTTCCAATGCATAGAGACCTTGACCTTTCCCCACTGGCCACTCCCCAGGAAGCCATGATATCCCAGGCCGGGTAATGGCCACTTAGTCCTCTCTTCCACATTCTAGTTCTCCCCAGTGCCCCCTCACCCAGGTACTGCTGCCGAGCAGAGGGCTGGAAAACCTGCTTCCTCCCAGGGCCACACAGGGTAGGGGAACCAGAGCCCATGTTTTCCGCTGCTGTTCCCAGAGGGGTCAGTGACCATGAAGGCTGAACTGAGCCTGTGGAATCTGCCCCTGAGCCCTCCTGGGCACACTCTTTGCTCTCTTTATCCCACTAATCCCTAGCTTGGGAAACAGAAGAGGTGCTTTTTCTAGCAGTGCTGACCTTGCGGACAGAGCGGGGATGGCTGGGAAGGCTCCCTGTTCTCATGGACTCTGTCCATGCTTAGCTCCTGGCAGCAAGGTCTTGAGTGGGTCCCTCCACTCTGCAGGGTCTTGGGATCCTTATTCGGATCCTGCTGGTCCTCTGGTGAGGGAAGAAAGAGGTAAGGGGGTGGCTTTCCTCTAAGATCCAGCTCATGTGGTCGCAGGAAGTTCTGAAGACCTCCGTGGGCAGAGGCTCGAAGGCCCAGGACTGTGTGGGTTTACAGGAGACAAATGAAAACGGGAGGGGGTGTCCGTGGAGGGGGATCTTGCACTCCCTGCTATGGCACCTCCTGGGAGTTAAATGGCATCTGGCATCTGCGGTGCTGCACCCCAGAACCAGTGCCAGGAAACTACCTTTTGTCAGGATCCCAGGATGCTCAGCTTGCATACTGTCTCCAAGTTTAGGCCACATACCCAGCCCTGATCTGTGGCAGGTGCCTGAGTTAAGGTGCTTCTGGGAAGCTGGGGTGTTGCTGAAGGGGAGGTGGCTGCTGGACATGCACAGTGGCCCTGGCTTCGTCTCCAGGACTGCACGAATGTAAAGGAAAGGGCGCCACGTCTCTCAGGACTGAGCAAACACTGACCATAGGGCTGCCGTTCTATCAGCTTCCCTGTCCCTTGCTGGCTCTGCCGACAGGGAAACTGAGGCTCAAGGTCTCAGCCCTCACTCATGCTTTATGCCTGTTCTGACTTGAAGGCCTGCAGTCCTGAGGCTCTCTGAGCCGGCCGCTCACCCCCTGTTCAACTCTTTCCCGTCCTCTCCAGATCATCATCTTTGAGCAGGAAAACTTCCAGGGTCACTCCCATGAGCTCAGCGGGCCCTGCCCCAACCTGAAGGAGACTGGCATGGAGAAGGCAGGCTCCGTCCTGGTGCAGGCTGGACCGTGAGTATCTGGGTGGTCTCACCCGTCAATCAGGGTGTCGAGTTGGGGTCACGTGATCTTCCTGTGCTCCTAGGTTGTGGTGGTGATGGGGGCAGGACTTGGGGGCTGGCAGCCCACAGGGAGTTTGTGCTTTGGAGGCAGAAAGCTGGGTCCAAATCCCAGTTAGGCAACTTGCAGGCTGTGTGGCGTCCGGCCATGGGCTTCCCTCTCTGTAGTTGACACCTTTGCTGTCACACGAGGGCTGCCACAAGCCACACTTCACACCGTCTTTCAGAGCAGTTTGAGGTCCTTAAGCCTCAAAGCCACAGAAAGACACTTTAGAAGCAGACCTTGGCCCCCACCTTAGACTCCTGGGTTTTGAGTTCAAGAATCCACCTCAAGCCAGAACTCCTGGTCCTATTTTTGTCCGGCTGAGTTTGTATCGTCTGCCATTATGCATGGTGGGTTCGTGTGTGCTCCCTAGTCGGTCCTTCTGGTCCTGACAGCCTTGAGCTCTAGGCTATTGGGTGTTGTAAGCAGCGCTGTGACGAACAGCTTTGCTCAGTCCTGCTTGAGTCTGACTGCCGTTCTCAAGAACACGGTGCCTAGAGCAGACTTTCGGGATCTGGTGTAAGTCTTCCTTCAAATGTATGTGGCGGACACCCTTGCCTCTCTCAGCCAGGACTAAGGTCTGAGAGGTCGCCATTGCCACGCCATGGGAGCGTCTCAGTCTCTGCCCTGGAGAGCCCCAGAAAGTTGGCACTTGAGGTTCCCACTTTCTCTTTCCTACCTCTCCTTTCTCCATAAGCCGCACCATCCCAAGGGAGTGCTTTGAGTTAGTCACACCCACAGGGATCGCTCCCTGGAGTCAAACAATCAGCAGCCGGAAACTATCTGGAGGGAAGTCACGTCTGTGCTAAACAAGTGCTCGCCCACCTTCTCGATGCTGTTCCCTAAAACGTGGGATATAATAGCTTGTGTTTGCACAGTACCCGCAAGGCACCTGGTGGCCCAAGCCACCTGCAGGTAATTTAGAGCACACAGGAGGCCGTCGCCATTGTAGAAATGCAACGCCAGCCTCTTTAGATTCCAGCCTGGTTTCTCACCAGTGCTGATCGACCTCTGGATGTCTCTCTACCATGAATCTAGGAGCTTAGAGTATACAGGCAAGTAGAGAGATGATGGGAGAATTGATTCTGGAGCCTGCTGTGGATGAAGCGATGACCTGGGGGACCTCAAGGCCCAGAGCTACGCTCAGTGGCCAGTTGGTGGCGCTTACCTGTCTCCCCTTCAGTGCCTGGCTGAGGTCATCATGCCGGCTGTGGCTTCCGGGCTCAGGTATGCGCACTGTGGATACTGGCTAGCATCACTAGATAGGGTCATGGGGTTCTTGTTCTTTGTTTTCCCAGCATCCTCTTGACCTTATGGTGCCGGTGTATGTACTGTCATCGGTAGCCAAGCCGCCCTTCAGATTTGTCACTTAATTCTCCTGTGTGCTTCAGGCATGAAGGGCAGTGGGGCCTGGGTTCTGGATCACCAAGGTGACGTTGCATGCATCTTCTCTGTCCTGGGGCGCTGCCGCAGGATGCCTGCAGAGGGACTCACTAGCCCTTTCTTGTGTCTTTCAGCTGGGTGGGCTATGAGCAGGCCAATTGCAAGGGTGAACAGTTTGTGTTTGAAAAGGGTGAGTACCCACGCTGGGACTCCTGGACCAGCAGCCGGAGGACAGACTCCCTCAGCTCTCTGAGGCCCATCAAAGTGGTAAGACCCTTTGCATCTTTCTGCCTTCTTCTGCACCAGGGAGCGGGAGGGGCCGGGCCCAGGAGAGTTCTCACCCACATTGTACTGTTAGGATTGGCCAAGGACCACCACTGTGGCATCTGGCCTCCTTGAGCCTCTGCTTGCTCATCTGCAAAATGGAACTTTAGTTCTTACTGGTGGAGCCTCCTTTGTTCCTAGCCCAGCTCCAGAGAATGCCATTTTGGCCCATGTTCCTCAGGTCTCATCTCAGTTTGAAATCATGAGTATTAAAGGAATGCTGAGGCTAGGAGGGAGGGGAAGGTACACTAACCTTTAGCCAAGGCTCAGCCATGTGAGCTAATGGTCTATTTCTGACCCTGATTCTTGCTAACATGTGAACTGTTGAGTAGGGAAAGGACTCAGCGATGCTCAGTTGTGTGCCCAAACCTTCCAAAGCCAGACTCGCACCTCCCAGATCTCTGTAGAAGACTGGAGCTCACCCCAGACACGGGCTCTTGTGTCTGTGTGATTTTTGGGCGAGTCACTTGAGCTCTCTGAGCCTCAGTGTTCTCCTGTGTCCCGTGGTCTAAGGGCTGCTGAAAGGTTGGAATTTTTGAGAAGAGCGTCAGCGGGGCAGTAGGTCTGGAGATGGTGCGAGCATGTGCACCTATGCCTGCTGGGGTCACCAGAAGCCTGCATGCTGTCCAGGCGCAGGCAGGCACTCAGTCATGGCTGCTGTTTATGAAGCAGGAAGCAGAGGTCGGGGAGGGAACTTGGAGTCTCAGATTCAAATGCTCCCTGAGCACAGGAGCTGCGGCTGTCCTTGTGGTGACAGTCCCCAGCCTTTGTCCCACCGTGAGGTGGGCACGTTGGCAGAGGTGGGTGGAGGGTGGGACAGGATGGGCAGGGCATCCCAGGCTTCACCCGAGCCCTCTGTCCACAGGACAGCCAAGAGCACAAGATCATCCTGTACGAGAACCCCAACTTTACTGGAAAGAAGATGGAGGTAGTGGATGATGACGTGCCCAGCTTCCACGCCCACGGCTACCAGGAGAAGGTGTCTTCTGTGCGGGTGCAGAGTGGCACGTGAGTGTGGCCCCAGACCTCCGCTCGGGACCCTGAGCTCACTGTGGGGGGTGGGAGCTCAACTTGTCCCCCACCCACCCTGAGACTGTCAGGTGGGAGTCACCGGCCTGGAGGCTGTGTCCCGCCAAAGTCTCCGGGGCGGGTGGAGGTGAATGGAATGGTCTCAGCTCAAGCGGGGAAGGCCGAGCTCCTGAGCCTGCAAACAGTCTCAAGGAGGGATTCCCGGTTGACACGTGCTCTTGGCCTCTGGCCTGTGGGACTCGCACTGCGAAGCAGGGCACGCCTGCGGTTACGGATCCTCAGGCAGTGTGTGCTGGGGTGGGGCATACAGTCAGCATTCTATGTCCATAGCTCTGCTGGCTGAGCTTAAAGCAGCCGGGGATGGAACATTCTGGAAACGCATGCATGCGTACATACATGCATACATATGTACACAGGCGCACACACATTCACGTGCACACACGTGCACCCACACTAAACACACACGTGCTTTTCTCTTACTGTCCTGAGCAGATAATGACTGTCTTCCCAGCAGTGTGATGGCGATAGGGTAGGGATAAGGAGTCACTGAGAGGGCTTTGTGGCTAAGAACACTTACGGGATAAGCGCAAGGATTCGAGTTCAAATCCCCAGCACCCTTGTGAAAGGTCAGGTGTCGCTGAACATGCACACCCATCACCCCGTCTCCGTGGAGGGCGGAAGCAGGAGGATGGCTGTGACTTGCTGGACACCAGCTTAGCTTCAGATTCAGCGAGAGGCCCTGTATAAAGTGACCAGGCAGGACACGAAATGTGCTTCTGTGGCCTCTGAGTGTGGACAGGTGTGGACAGGACGGTCTCTGGCGCCTGCCTTGTGCAGTCAGCACTCCAGGGGGACAACCGTCGATTGTTTAAGGGTCCATACAGACCTAAGAGGCTCCCCCAGACTCCTGAGCTGAGACCCAAAGGCAGAGTTACAACTGCAGGGCGAGAGGGCCTGGAAGGCATCCACAGACACCTAGCTGTGGCAGCAGCCCTGTGCTGAGAGGAGGCCCCTGAGGCTCCTGTTCTCAGTGGCTGGGCGTGGCCGGGACGGCATAGGACGGCAGGGCGGCAGGGCGGGGGTGGAGGTGTCGGGAGTCCTCTGGGCAGGTGCCTCAGCCAGGGCTGGAGAAGGTTGGCATTGTCCTCAAGGGCTGGAGAGTTAGTGGCACCCTGCCTGGTGAAGGCTCTGGATGTGGGTGGGTGGTAGAGGGTACCCACTGTCTCCCCCTCTCCTTGAGCCACGCTGCCAGGCTCAGGCTGGGATGAGGATATCCTGAGGAGGCCCAGGAGCCCCCATGATTCTAAGCTTTTGGGTTGGGAGGTAGTGAGCTCCCCAGCAGGAGGGGCAAGCAAGCAGAGTCCGGTGTTAGCGAGTGGGGTGGGAGGGGGTGTCCTGGACTTCCCTGCTCCTCCCGGTGTTGGGACCCCCTTCACTTCTCTCTTCATCTCATCATGTCTCTCCCACCCCCACCTCCACCTGCAGATGGGTCGGGTACCAGTACCCTGGCTACCGTGGGCTGCAGTACCTGCTGGAGAAGGGGGACTACAAGGACAGCAGCGACTTCGGGGCCCCTCACCCCCAGGTGCAGTCTGTGCGCCGCATCCGTGACATGCAGTGGCACCAGCGAGGCGCCTTCCACTCCTCCAGCTAGAGCCCCGGCCTTCCTCTCCCCAGGGGCCAGGCCCACCACCCCGGGGGCCTCCTGACACTCAGAGTGAATAAAGTGTAGATTGCAACTTGTTTGCCATGCGTCTTTTATTCCTGTGTGCCTGGGACACAAGCGTATGCCCTGAGCGTCTGTTTGGTTTACCTTTGGTGGCTGACCTTCTGGGACTCACACAGCGTGTGGGCGAGTGGCAGGTGCCCGGTGCACCTCCTGCCGCCTTCGCTGCTCTGTCATTTCTGCAGAGTGAACACTGTGGCTCTCTGGGTTGTTCCGAGCCTGCCCGAGGCTCCACAGCCTTTCAAAAGACCCAGCCGCGTTGTCTGCGTGTGCTCGGCTTCACTGCCCCCTGCTCTGTCCTGGGGTTGGTTTGGTCTCTTGTGTGGCTAGGCTAGGAGGTCACAGCCCAGGAGAGGCTGCAAAAGGCCCCACTCATAGGCCTCACCCCGGTGACCTGTCAGAACTGTGATGTTCCCGTGAGAGATGAGCAGGGACGGAACAGCAGGCGAGCGTGGGCAATGCGGGCTCGCCTCCCTTTTGTGGCTTCCGGTGTAAGGTGGACGCTGGGCTCTGACTCTCTTCGCCTGCCTTCTGGTAGCTGTGAATATAATTTTAAAATTCAACAGACCCAGACCTCAAGCTTTCCCCCAACCCCCGCATTTTGCACAGTCCTTAAAAGGTTCTTCCTAACCCCAGGACACAGATCCAGTCTCCGACACCCCTGAATGCTCCAGAGCTTTGCTCTCAGCGCTACGTTCTTGCTTTTTCTGGAGGCGATTTCTGTGTGTCAAATGCGGTGAGACCTGGTTTCTCCTTTCATTCTTTTTTCACTCTGGGCAGCTGCTGGCTTGCAGGACACTGAAGAACCTCACCCAGGGTCTGTTCACGGGCTGTCTGCTGCGTCCCTGTCATCTCCTATGTAAGACCCTGATATTATCAACTTCTAGGGGTGACAACCCCCAAGGCTTTAGTCCACAGGAACACTTGGACACCCCTCTTCACCTAAAGGCTCTTTAGAAGTGCCCCCTCCGACATGGAGAGACGGGAAATTGGGGAGGCATATCAGTCTATGCCCTGTTGCTATAACAAAATACCAGAGGCTGACTACTTACAAATCAGGGGGTCAGTTCTGCAGGCCAGCGGCCACTTCTGGACACAGGAGTCTATCTGAAAGGATGACAGGGTAGAGCCATGAGTGTGAACGAACCGTGCGCAGAAGGGGCTGAGATCACTCTGGCAGGGATGTCCCTCACCCAGTCAGATCAGACATGACTTTGGGACGGAGTACCCTGGCTCCAGATCCTGCCTCTTTTTTATCATTAAAAATGTTTTTAGATCTATTTATTTCACTTTATATGTATGAGTGCTTTGTCTGCCTGTACCTATGTGCACCTCATGCGTGCTTGATACCGGGTCCAAGAAGAGGACACTGGATCCCCCCCAAACTGGAATTATAGATGGCTGGAAACGACCATGTGGGTGCTGGGAGTCAAACCCAGGTCCTCTATGAAAGTAGCCAGTGCTTTTAACCACTGAGCATCCTTCCAGCCCTTCAGCCCCAAATCTCTAAATCATCTCTCAGCACCACCACGCTGTGTGTGTGTGTGTGTGTGTGTGTGTGTGTGTGTTGCTTGCAGCACCTGAACTGTGGGAGACCCATCTGACCCACAACAGGAGGGAATCAAAACACATTAATAGCTTCCATTTCCTTGCTCAGTCTCCAACCACCACTCTCAAGGGACGACTTTCTTCCTGGGACCAAACCTGACAGGCAGTTGAGCCAAGCAGATTATTATGCATGAAGTTGCATCACCTCGAGCTTTGAACCTGGGGCCCAGGAGTTGTTTGTAGCAGATGTAATGGATCCTCTGAGCCAATGAGAGGTGTCCGGATGAGAAGGGGAAGCAGACACAAGCACACAGCCATGGAGAGTTTTGTGCCATTGTTGGTCTCACTGCCAGCTTGATGAGCCTGGAATCACCCTCGGGGCACCCTCTGAGTCTGTGAGGGGATGTCCAGGAGGGAGTGACAACCATCCTCAAAAGGGAGGCAGCCCCTTCCAGGGGTAGGCTGCCATTTAAAGAGGCCCACCCTTGGGAGCAGGGGGGTCCACCTGCCTCACCCCTGCCCGATCGAGAGTCTCCTTTGCCGCTGCCGCGGTCCTTCGTGGACACCAGACTCCAGCGTCTTCAGCCTCCCTACATGGAGTCGACACCAGCCGCTCCACAGGGACCTCCCAGACTGCAGAGCTGGACTGACACTTCCCAGCGCCCAGCCTTGCTGACAGGGTGGCTCCTGGGTTCTCTTTACGCCCAGCGAGTGAGGAGTCACGGTTGGATCGCAGCCTGACCATCTGAGCCAACAGAATAAATCTCTTTTTATTATGTATTTACTACCTCACTATCCGTTCCCTTTAGGAAGCCCTGACTAGCACACCAAAGTAAGAAGGGCGCGTTGCTTTTGTCACCAAAGGAAGTCCTAAGGTCACAGGGGGCATCAGACAGGAGCAGGGTTAGGGTTAATTCCGGCAGCCTTCGGGAGGAGCCGAAACAAGACCAGCCTTGTTCTGTGTCCCAGCAGAACAAGGCGGTGGTGGCAGAGAAAGGAGCCACCCCCGGGGCCAGGTGAGCGCTCCCCAAGTGGGAAACTGTGTAAGGAGGTGTGGAAATCTTCCAGGCGAAGTTGAGGTGGGCAACAGTCTTGGCAAAGGGAACAGACGTGCAAAGAGGGGCGAGCAAGAGGCATGGTGAGTCAAGAGACACCCCCTCCCCGCCCCGACCTCTGCAGGGCTTGAGGGCTTTAAGCTGAGCCCATGGGTCCTGAGATCCCGAGGGGCACTGATAATGGGTGTGCGGGAGGGCTGGGTGGCTCCAGGAGGAGCACAGTTACCCACTGTTGAGTGAATGGCCTCTCATGGAGGAAGAGGTAAAACTTTAACAGTCATTTCTTTTGTATGAAGATCTGTAGTTTTGGGAGCACGCAGTGGGGCAGCTAATCCCCGAGGAGTTTTCAGGGGTGGCAGGGAAGGGCTCCCGTGGCTGAATGCCCTGCGGGCCGGCCTTCGGCTGAGGTCCACGTGGACACACCCAGGTGGGTGGTCCATCCTCACTTCTTGGCAATGGACTTCCAGGAGCCAGTGCCCCAGCAGCGGGGAGATGTAACTGAATGACATCTTTGTGGCCGGCTCCTCACTCTTCTGAGGCTTCCAGATCATGTGGGGTTGCCCAGGTTTGGGAGAAAGGGACAAAGGTCCCACCAGCCAATAGGAACATCTGGTGGTGGCCATCCTCAGAAAACACAGTCTTCCATCAAGACACCGGGGACATCAGGAGTGGGCTTCCATGGGGCGGGGCGGGGACTGAGTCCTTGAACTCCAGAAGGATCTAGGCTCTCTTGGACCTGGACTCAGGACTTGGTGCTCGTCGGAGTCCCTGCCCCCCCCCCGGGCTGTCACTGTGGGGTGTGATCTGTCCATCACCCTTTCTCCCTGCTTAGATCCTCCGTTTGTCCTGGAAACCCACCTACAGCCTCTGGTTCCCCAAGGACCGGCCATTTCCCACGTCAGCCACTAGGTGTCAGCAAAGCGCCATCCTCACGAGAAGGGCGAGCCCCTCACTCCCCACCGCACCCCCAGCTAGGGTCTGCTTGAGGTTGAGCCCTCCGGGTCCCACGCAGGAGCTGGTGCCAGACACGCACGGACCCTGGAAAGACCAGGTGCCTGCAGGGCAGCCGGGAAACATGAGCCTTTCTTCCTATGCTCCCAACCCCTGGAACAACAGAACTCAAACCGTCGCGGAGACAAATGAAAACTGTTTTATTCTTGGCTTCCTCGCAGCCTGATCGCTCTGGGTCGCTCAGTTTCTTCTGCGTTTCTGAGCTGACTGCCTCGCGTGGGCGCCCACGAACCTTTCTAGAAAAGAGCTGGCCAGAGGAAGGCGCCTGCGCATGTGCAAACCACCTCGCCCACCAACCCCCACGAAACTCCAAGAATCTGAAATTTGAATTTCGTTCTGTCTTATACCAAAAGAAAAAAGAAAAGAAAAGAATCTTTCTTCAGTTTCCTCACCGCCCCCAAGCACTTGACGTACGAAAACATTGTTTGAATGGAGTCGATGTGCGGCCTGGGAACACTCCCATCGTCCCTAAACGCCAAGTTCCCCCATGGCGAGTGTCTCACGAAGCTTCGTAGTCACAGACAAAGAGACAGCCGTGAATCAAGCCACTTTTTAAATACTGGTGGTGACGTCAGGTAGGTGAGTTATAGCAACGCCGGGGATGTCCCAGTGCGTCCCAGGTGCTGTCTGGGAGCTGTCTCCGCGGTTGGTGCACACTGATGGTGTGCGCATTGGTTACAGGGGAACAACCTAACCGGCTGTCTAACAAAGCTGCCGGGCCGGAAGCAGAGAAAGGCCACCTATATCAGAGGGTTAACGATGCCCCAAGGTCATTGGGCTCTGGACTTGCAACTTTGCAACCTGTCCACCTACTACACTTCCGGTCAGTCACCCAGCCTTTGCAGGGTTTCTATTGGTGATCGCTGTGGCCCGAACAAGCCAGGGAGGAAAGGCTTCATTCTGCTTACACTTCCACATCACAGCCCATCGCTGAGGGAAGGCAGGACAGGAACTCAAGCAGGGCAGGACCCTGGAGGCAGGAGCTGATGCAGAGGCCATGGAGGGGTGCTGCTCACTGGCTTGCTCCCCTGGCTCACTCAGCCTGCTTTCTTATAGAGCCCAGGACCACCAGCCCAGGGATGGCCCCACCCACAATGGGCTGGGCCTCCACCATCCATCACTAATTAAGAAAATGCCCCGCAGCTGGATCTTATGGAGGCCTCTTCTCAGCTGAGGCTTCCTCCTCTCTGACGACTCTAGCTTGTGTCAAGTTGACTCAAAACTAGCCAGCAAACAGACAGCCTCTTTCCAGGAATTGTCTTTCACAACATGGGGCGACGATGGCCCTGCTACCGACCTCCGGTGACATCTGGTGACATGCTTAGCTCATTAGTTGGCTGGTGGCTTGTTAGCATCTTCCAAAATGTTTGGCCTGGCAGTCAGAAGTTCGG